GCACTTTGCACCTCACAGAATATTTGCAGGGATTCCAGGAACCAATGAATAATAATTTCACTGAGATGGTGCCCAGCGGGAAAGAAGAAGCAGTTAGAGAAAGAAAAGGTTTCCTCTTGTCCCTCACAGGAAGAGCCCAGACCAGCTTACTGGAGCTCCCTCACCTGGAAGTCCACCCTAGAGCACTTGGCTCTCTCCTCCCCACTCCTCCTCGTCCTCCCACCCCCACCCTCAAACTCCCTAAGCCAGAAATGCCTGTGGTATTTGTCTATCCCACTGTCTCTACACAGTCTTAGAACAGTTCCCCACTCCCCTGACTGCTCTCCATGGCTTCAGTGGCTCACTGGACCTCCAAGAATTAGTCTTGTTTCTCTCCTGCTTTTCTTTAAAGCTAATGAATTAAGCAAGCTCAATTAGGAATGTGCTGGTATATTTATCTTGCTCTATTGCTTTCTCTCATTAACCAGTCACCCTTTCCTTCCACAATCCTTTGTTCATCCATCTCTTCCCTCTTCACTGAACTACTTCCCCTCCTGCAACTTCTCTGATCCTCCAGATCTGTCTGAGCCTCACTCCCTTCCCCAGAGCCCTCACAGAATTCCAGCCCCACCAACCCCCTTTTTCTTCTTTACATACTGTCCTCAGTTGCTCTGTGTTTACTTTGCCCATCCCAGTGATGTCACCCTAGACAGAAAGGAATTCCAGAAGACTTGCTGATTAACACAGTAAGCTGAGCCTGAGGGAGTGGATGGAGGAGGGATAACATGATAGTACTTCCTGCTTCTCTAACACTTCCACAGAGCACTTTCCATTTCATCCCACTGGGTGATGATGGTAAGGCCCCAGAAAGGGAGCCTTACCCTTTTCCTCATTTCTAAGTCTCCTCTGGCTCAAACACAGTACATCTGGAGTAGTACTCTGTACCACGCCCTTACATCCCTTATTGTCTTTGCTCCTCATAATCCTGAGACAGGTACTCTAAGTGCCCCCATTATACAGATGTGGGAACTGAGGCACACAGAGGATAAGTAGTTTACCAAAGACCACTCAGCTGGATAGTGACAACTAGCTTCAAACCTCACAGTCAACCATAGAGCCTATGCATACAACCAACCCCAGCTGCCTCAAGGGCCTATACCTGGGAGGACTATCCTGGGAAGAGAACCAGAGGAGTAGGAGTACAGTAGCAGGTGGGAGAGGGAATATGTGTTACTGAGATCTAGTGGGCAGAAACCAGGGATGCTGCTAAACATCCTGCAATGCATGGGATAGCTCCCCACAACAATGATCTGACAAAATGTTAATAGTGTTGAGATTGAGAAACGGTGGTGGTGGTGGTGGTGGTGGTGGTGGCGTTGTAGTAGCAAAAAAGGTGAGAGGGCCTGAACTCTAAGCCACTCCCAGCGGACAAAGCTGCCTGCATCTTGATGAAGCGATGATGATGATTGTTGTTGTTAAGTGCTGTGGAGTCAGTTCACACTCACAGTGACCCTTTACAGGAGTTCTGAGAAGTGGCTGCTGGATTTGAACCGCCAGCCTCTGTGGTTAGCAGTATATTTTCCTAACTCAGCCAAAAACACAGTGCGAGTCAACATGAGCCCCCATGGGATGCCATGGTAGTGCTGGGGTAGAAACAGGGGGAGAGAATGTACCTGCCATTGTCTTGCTGTGATTTGTACAAAAAGCAATTTAAGAAAGACATTTAGTTTCTAGTAGCAAGTCAAAAAGTCAACCTGTGTAATTATGCCATTTTCTTAGTGGCAAAAGAGAGATGTTTTTAAAGCATGCTGACATACCAGCTCAGTTGGGAAATGGAGTGTGATCAAGGATCTTTATTGCAGCACTGTTTCTAATAGTAAAGGCTCAGGAACAACGAAACTATCTGTTAATAGAGGGCAGGTTAGATGAACAATGGAAAATCCTGTAGCTCTAAAAAGGAATGAGGATATTGTTGTTATTGTTAAATGCTGTGGAATAGATGCTGACTCATAGTGACTCTGTACTAGGAGCAGCTGGTGGATTTGAACTGCCAGCCCTGTGCTTCACAGCCCAGCACTTATCTACAGAGGGTACATTATTAGATACAGATAGATAGAAGGGCTCCAGAATTTACAAGGCTAAATATTGTGACTAGGGTTCCAGTTCATAAATGTACAGGTTTATTCCAAAGAAACCATCTTTAAGAGTAGATGTCTCTGTAAACAGTAGATGGTTGCAGACAAGTTCTCTCAGCAATACACTTGTCTTGTTGTTATTCTGTGCTGTCGAGCCAATTCTGACTCATAGCACCCTTGTACAAGGTTTCCAAGATAGGTTCGAACTGCCATCCTTGAAACTGGCAGTCCAATGTTTATCCAACAGTACCACACTAGGGCTCCACACTTGTTTTGGTTTCCAATCAAAATAGTAGCTTCCACGGGAATCCACTGGACCGATTAATCCACAAGGCCAGTAGGTCAATTCAGAAGGCTTTGGTGGATTCCAATGCAGTAATATGGATAGATTTTCTCGAAGGACACAAGACACTCACGGGGACTTATTAGAAAGCATTTTTAAGAAAATTTAAAACTGGCCTTTGTCAACAAAGGTGGGGAAAAGGTCTGGAAAGATACCTCAATGATTTTTTTTTTTTTCCACCAAGACAATGTACCTGCTCCTTCTTGCCAGGTAGAAAGGGCTCTCACAGTAATTTCTGTGGGAAACCATACCCCACCCACTCTATAGTCCAAAATCTTGCCCCTTCAGACTTTTTGTTCCCAAACCTTAAAGAACCTTTCAAAGGCACACAATCAATATGAGTCCCTGAAGGATGCTAAATTGCCGTTTTGACATGGTATAAATCAAAGAGCATAGAATTCTTTGGGGAAGACTTAGAGAGATGGAAACAGTACCTTCAGAAGTGCATACACCTAGACAGAGGCTGTGCTGAGAAATAGCTTCATAGTTGGATGTTTTTGATTAATAAAGGTATCTGTGATTTTATAGCAATACTTCTGGACTTACCCTCATATTGTGTGAATAAAAAGCCAATTGCAGAATTCTGTGGAGTACTGTGTTGTTATTAGGTGGGAAAGGAAGGGTAATAATGAACAGTATTGGTATTTGACTGACATTTGCATAAAGCAATGGTTCCTAATTGGAGACCTGGAGCTCTACCTATTAAAACACAGGTTGCTGGACCTTCTTCCCAAAGATTTAGTACATCGGGGCTGAGCCTGAAAATCTGCATTTTTAACAAGTACCCAGGGGATAACTGTACTGCTATTCTGGGAACCCCACTTTGCGAACCACATAAAGGATCTCTGGAAGTTTTGACAAGGAACAGGTAGTACTGGGTGCCTCTGGGGAAGAGACCTACGAGATTGGAGGTAGGGTGAGAAGAATGGTTTTGACTATGGGCTTTTCTGTATTTTTAAAAGTTTGAACCTTGTGAGTTACTTATGTAAAAGCAACTAAAAATTAAAAAAGCAATGAAAGTAAATAGAACAGGAAACTTAATTTGGTGGGAAGCCTATTTGCGCATGTACAACCCTAGAACATCAGATGGGCTCTGAAACCTTTCCTACCCATTCCCACTCTGATCTCAGGACAGCAGAATTCACTTTCCCAACTTGTGGACTTGTATATGGGCCTGTAGGAGCCCTGGTAACACAGCGGTTAAGCACTAGGCTGCTAACCAAAAGGTTGGTGGCTTGAACCCACCATTGCTTTGAGGGAGGAAGATGAAGCAGCTTGCTTCCGTACAGATTTACAGCCTTAGAAACCCTATGGAGCAATTCTACTCTGCCATACAAGTGTCTCCATAAGTCAGAATCAATTTGATGGCGGCGGATTTTGCTTGTTTTTTTTATAACTAGACATGGAGCTATCCCAGCTGGGCCCCCTAGTGGGCCAGATCTTCTCCTCCAGGGTGTTATTACTGTTCATTGAAACCACATACCTGTTGGGGATTAGACAGCTGTGATCCATAGGGTTTTCATTGGCTAATTTTCAGTAGTCCAATAGCCAGCCGGTCTTCCTAGTCTGACTTAGCCTGGAAGCTCTGCTGTGGCTAAATGGAAAGATGCTAAAAGGCAAGGCTCCACGGACTGATGAATGGAGACTGTGCCTGCGGTGAATGGATCCCACGTCATCCACATGGAAGGTGGCCATTTTAACACTGAGCCCCCAGTGTCCCCATACCCCAGGACACAGCAGGTAGCAATAAGCAAGTGCTGTTGCCTATGTACACAGATGCAGATGCAAAGTGGGGCAAAACCTCTGGGACTGTGAGAGAGCTATGAGCCCTTTCGCCCCTGCCCCTACACCACCCTCATATGGCCCAAATTATCCAGGACAGCCTGGTTTCAGCCTCATCCAGGTCCCTTAGTCCCTGCACCCTTGAACTAGTGACATCACTGCACTGGAGTTGCTTCATCCAGGGATGAAGTTGGGGGTGACTTTTATCAAAGGATTAGATTTTTACTTAGGTTCTTGGGAAACCAGCCACAATGAAAGGGGTGTTGAATTCAGAACGTTGGAGAATTGGCATTAGGGAACAAAAGCATGCAAGTCAGCCCCTAGACTAGAAGGGCTTTTTCTAGCTGTCTTCAAATCACACCAGCTCTACCTTCCATGAGGGCTAAGTGGTGACTGTCCCACTTTTCTTATCCAGAGTTTTTGATGCGGAGCTTTCCCAACTCTGGCAGCCCACCTGCCGGGGGAGGCTGTTGACAAAGGCCAGTAAATGACCCCTCTCAGTAATTACTCCCGGAAATCTGAGGAGGCTGTTGCCCAACACTGGCCACCGAACGCGAGAAACTCACGGCGTTTGAAGGAATGCCGCAAAAATCGAAGCGTTGGAGCCAATAAATCACCCCTTTTCTCTTCCTTTATAGGGGCGCAAACTTAAGGTCTAGATGGATGGAAGTGGCTGTGGGCCAAGGCAAACCTGGCCCTCCGCCACCCACCGCCCCTGTCCCCGCCCCCGCCCTATTAAGCGGGGAGGAGCGAAGGCTACAATGGATCCTCCTGCGGGCTTTGTGCGAGCTTAGAATCCAGCTGTCGCCGCCCCCAAGAGCCCAGGGTCCCCAGAGGGTGCGTATTTCCGGACTGCCCACCGCCCTGCTCACTTCGGTAGCAGCTGCCCGGGCAGAGTTCAGAACCACCCCACCTGCTCCTTGGCTGTCCAGCCCCCAGTCGCCAGCCGAAATGCCGGTCAATTTCACCGGGTACTGGAAGATGCTGTCCAACGAGAATTTCGAGGAGTACCTGCGCGCTCTCGGTAAGTGCTACCTGCCACACCCCGCCTGGGCACCTGCCGAAGCTGCTCGGCCCCCTCCCCACAGTCCCCGGAGCCCGCTTCGATGTCTCTCAGCCCGCCCGGCAAGCCGTCCGAGGCCATGGCTCAGGGTGACCTGTAGCCTGTGAATTGGAGGATAGGGGATTATTGAGGCTAATTGGCTGCAAATGTTTGATAGTTGGCCCTGGACAAGGATAATTTCATTAGGAAAGCTGGACTTGATTTGCTAGTTTTTGTTTTTAAAAGGGTTTATGTACGGGCAGAAAACTTCACTGCAAATAAAAACACTGACGGGCAGCGCGCCTAGACGCGCAAAGCCATCGGAAAGCCCAAACAAGGTTCCATTAGAGCATGTGCCTGGGGCTGCTACTGCCTTGAGAACACTTCTCTGAGGTTTCCTTGCCAACCCTCTACTCCTCTCTGTTCGGTACCCCCTGCAGATGTGAATGTGGCCTTGCGCAAGATCGCCAACTTGCTAAAGCCAGACAAAGAGATCGAACAGGAAGGCGATCATATGATCATCCGGACGCTGAGTACTTTTAGGAACTACATCATGGACTTCCATATCGGGAAGGAGTTTGAAGAGGATCTGACAGGCATAGATGACCGCAAGTGCATGGTGAGGACACTCGGACACATCTTGGTGTCTCCTGCCTAGTGGGCACTGGTCAAGGACTGGGTTCGTTCATTTGGTGGGGAGACAAGGGCTGTATCTGCTGACAATGTCCAGGATCTTCCCACCCCTGCCCTTATGGTAGGCAGCACCAACCTACTTAGCAAGCAGCCCCTCTATGGAGACCAGATGGTAATAGTTATGAAGGCTGTGGTTTATTGAGTTTCCACTGTGTCCAAACACTGGGCCTAGGTACTTTCCTTATACTCAAGACTTCACTGAAACCTTGTAACCACTTTTGAAAGAGGTATGAGTAGTCACCCATTTTACAGATGAGAAAACATTCTCAAAGAGATGAAGTAACTTGGCTAAGTAGCAGAGCTGGGAAGAGTTAGAGGCTGGAAAAACAATCAAGTCTGGTAGCAATCTGGGTTTTCTTATCAGCCTGCTCTATCAGCTGGTGGAGAAAGGTTAGAAGGAAGGCAGGAAAGAAAGAAAGAAGATAGGGAACCCCTTTGAAGTGTAAACTTCCCATACAGCCTGGTGTGGAGCCTCTCTGGGAGCTGGGGGTACTAGGTTCTTTGCCTGACATCCTCTGACCCTCTATCTAGCCTCCTCCTCTTCCCAAAGCTGGGATTTGGCTCCTGGCCACTCCCTGCCCCACTATCTTCTACTGCCAGCTCTGCTTCCTTTAAACTGCTGCAGCGTCCACTACTTAGTAGGTTAGTGCTGCTTTGCCCAGGCTGCATGGACAAGGGGGAGGAGGACCATCCTAGGCTCCCCATAAGGAAGTGAAACTGGTGACCTGGAGACCCCAATTAGCTTTGCCACAACAAACTCCGGAAGGTCAGTCCCAGGCCTCGCTCAACATTCCTGGGTCACTTTGAGAGCTCCTGGGCTCCCTTCATAGCCTTGAGTCCAGAGCAAGCTATTGCTTGCTTCCCAAGTAGCCACGTTGCTTCTCCATGGTGCGCTTTCCCATTGCCCACCATTTACCAAGGGTTTGCTGTGTGCCCTGCACAATGCCAGTTACTTCACAGAGCAGCCCAGTTACGGAAGGATTAGGAACCGCAAATCGTGCCATGACTAATGTGCAGACGGGGGCGGAAACTTGCTAGAGATGGAATTTGAAGCCTAGGCCTTTTGACTTTGAAGCCCACACTCCTGCTCTCTGCCAGGCTTCCCTATGCAGGGAGACTTTCAGAAACAAGATGGGTGAGGTTTGTTAGGCCTGTGGTTGAAGGAGTGCCTCTGGCTGGGAATAAGCCCCAGGCCTGGACGACTCATCTCCAGGACTTTGTTTATTCAACCCGAGGCAGTCAGGAGTTGGTATCTGAGTCTCCTGTTTGGAATGATGGAGGAAACGGTGAGTGGCAGGAGTGTCCCTGAGGGGCCAGCAGTGGGAAAAAACACTTTTGTTTTAGGGAAATCGCAGGTTATACATTTAAAAGACTCAAGGCCTCAGTTTGCTAGAGAGACTAGCAGTGGGCGAGGCCTTCAGGGGGTCTGTCTTTGTGAGGTTGGGCCGTGCGTTTCTGATCACTGCCCACCAAGATCTGCACTTAGGCCTTCTGCATGGAACTTGGCACCCTAAGAACAGTCTTTGTCCCCAGCTCAGTCTTGGGGTATTCACAAAGTACATCAAACATCTCTATTTATTTTGGTTAGTGTAACTTCTGGAATGTGCTGACTTGTAGTTGGCTAATTATCTTCACTCTTCATTCCCTCTTCCATCTATATTAGCACTTGAAACATCTATTACTTAGTAATTATACCAAGTAATACTCATTACGTGCTTACTGCATGTCAGGTACTATTTTGTTAGGATAAGTATTATCATGATAATTCTGTATGATCTCAGTCTTCTCAATACCATGTTGTTAAATGTCGTGGAGTCAATTCCGACTTACAGCAACCCTCTACAGAGTTTCCTAAGATCAGCTGGTGGGTTTGAACGATCGACCTTGTGTTTAGACATCAAGGACTGATCCTTCTGCGCCACACCAGGACTCCTCACACCACCATCGCCAGCCCCATTTTATAGATAAGAAACCCTGAGTCAGTTAAGTAGGTGGCGGAGGAGAAGTTAGAATTGGGTCCATCCAGCTCCAGAGTCCCTGTTGTGTTGTTGCTATTACACTTGGTTGTTGTTGTTCAGTGCCTTTGAAAAGTTGCTTCTATCTCCTAACAACCCTAGGTACAACACAATACAACATAGCCCATTCCAGCAGCATCCTTACCATGGTTATATTGGAGCCCATTGTTGCAGACACTGTGTCACTCCTTCTCATTGAGGGTCTTCCTCTGTTTCACTGACCATGTACTTCTCCAGGGATTGGCCCCTCCTGATAACATGTCCAAAGTACATGAGATGAAGTCTCACTATTCTCCCTTCTAAGGAACATACCAGTCATACTTCTTCTAAGCCAGAATTGTTCCTTTTTCAGGCAGTACAAAGTATGTTCAACATTCTTCAACAACACAGTTCAAGTACATCAGTTCTTTGTCATCTTCTGTATTCCTTGTCCAGCTTTCTCATACATATAAGGTGACTGAAAATACCATGACTTGGGTCAGGTACACCTCAGTTCTCAGGTGACATACTTAAAGATATGTTTTGCAGCAGATATGCCCAATGCACTGTCATTTGATTTCTTGACTACTGCTTCCATGAGTGTTGATTGTGGATCCAAGTAAAAGGAAATCCTTGGCTACTGTAATCTTTTCTCTGTCTATCCTATAATGTTGCTTATTGGTTCAGTCATGAGGATTTTTGTTTTCCTTACATCCAGTGGTCTTGATCTTCATCAGTAAGAGTTTCAAGACCTTTGGCTTTTAGCAAGCAAATTTGTGGCATCTGCATTATCACAAGTTATTAATTAGCTTTCCTCCAATCCTGATGCTGTGTTCTTCTTCATATAGTTCAGGTTATCATTATTTGCTCAGTATACAGACAGAAAAAGTATTGTGAAAGTATACAACTCTGATGCAGACCTTACCTGACTTTAAACCCTGCAGTACTGTTTTAACTGTTTTACTGTTTTCTGTTTTAACGATCACCTCCTGGTCTATGTACAGGTTCCACATGAGCACAAGGAAGTATTCTGGAATTCCTCTTCTTCTCACTGTTATTCATAATTTATTATGATCCACACAATTGAATGCCTTTTCATAGTCAATAAAACAACCACCTTTCTGGTATTCTCTGCCTTCAGCCAAGATCCATCTGATATCAGCAATCCTCTTCTGAACTCAGCTTGAATTTCTGGCAGTTCATTATTGAATTATCTCCAGCAAAATTTTACTAGTGTGTGCTATTAATGATATTATTCACTAATGTTAGCATTCTGTTGGATTGTCTTTCTTTGGAATGGACACAAATATGAATCTCTTCCAATCAGCTGTCCAAGTAGCCATTTTCCAGATTTCTTGGTATAGACCAGTGAACGCTTTCAGCATGCTATTTGTTGAAACGTCTCAATTGGAAATCTGTCAATTCCTGGTACTTTGCTAATCTTACAGCTTCACACAAGGGCTCCAATATCTGTCCCTTTGCGATAGACTAACTTCACTCAGCATAATGTTTTCTAAGTTCTTCCATGTTATATGGTGTTTTCACTAATGCATTTAGTGAAGCTTAGACTTCTTCCTTCAGTACCATTGGTTCTAGATGAAATCCTACCTTCTGAAATAGTTAAACGTTGACTAAATTTTTTTTTGGTGCAGTAATTCTGATCATTCCTTTTACCTTCTTTTGAAGGTAAAATATTTTAAATATTTTTTAAAATATTTTGTCCATAGAATCCTTTACTATTACAAGTCAAGGCTTGAATGTTTTCTCCAGTTCTTTCAACTTGAAAAATGCTGAGTGTGTTCTTTCATTTTGGTTTTCTAACTGCAGGTGTTTGCACTTTTCATTCTAATACTTTGTCTTCTCAAGCAAAGCAGCCCTTTGAAATCTTCTCAGATCTTCTACTCCATCATTTCTTTCATTTGCCTTGGCTACTTACTCTGTGCTCAAGAGAAAGTTTTAGAGTCTCTTCTGACATCCACTTGATCTTTTCTTTCTTTCCTGTCATTTTATTTATTTTTACATTATCATTGTCATTATTATTATTATCATTATTCTCCATTATAGAGGACATGTCAACAGAGAACATAAAATGTTTAAGATGGAATAAGAGGTCAGACTGTCCTGTATTAAACATGTCATGGTGTGGCACTGTGGATCAGCAATGAACTACAGACCACAAGGTCGGCAGTTAAAACCCACCAGCTGCTCCTCAAAAGCCCTATACAGGGTTGCTGTAAGTCAGAACCGACTCAATGGCACTTAACACCACCACCAAAACAGAAGCTGTTACTTTTTTTTATATAAGAAAATAAATATATATTGTTTCCTTTCCAGTACAAGGAGCCCTGGTAGCATAGAGGATTAGGAACTGGACTGCTAACTAAAAGATCAGCAGTTCAAACCTACCAGCCATTTTTCAGGAGAAAGATGGAACTTTCTGCTCCTGTAAAGACTAACAGCCATGGAAACCCTATACAGGGTCACTATGAGTTGGAACCGACTCATAACCACCATTCCGGTACAAAGAAAAAAGAAAGAAATCTGTTTCCCCCCTTCCCTCTCCTCTTTTCCTTCCTTTTCTTTTCAGTTGCCCAAGTTAGCACTTGTCTACACTCTATCCAGTGACTAATTCTCTCTTATCTCCAATCCTTGGTAACCATCAGAGAAAGTTTATTGTAGAATAAATACCTTTACTTGACTGTTTATAGAAGTTGTTGTTAGTAAGTACCATTAAATTGGTTCCAATTCATAGCAACCCTGTATAGTATTTCCAAGTAGCAGCTGGTGGATTTGAACCACCAACCTTATGGTTAGCAGTCCAGTGCTTATCTTACAGCATCACACCAGGACTCCAATATCAGTCCCTTTGCTATCGACAAACTTCATTCATTACAATGTCTTCTAAGTTCCTCCATTATTCTTCAGTATTGCA